GGAAACTCACTAATCTTTATGCTTACCCAGTTGTTTATGGTTTCAGGTATCATCGGTAATTGTTGGAAGGTGAAAGTGGGAGTGCACACACTCATCAACAATATTGAAGATTCCGCGTTTCCACAATACTCTTATTTTTAATAAATGCAATTCAGAATAAACGATTTTCTTAATTAAAGGATTAATAAATTGGGAAGCTTTACCTTAATAAAAATGGAAATTTTTGGTTGTGAAAATGGAATGTTACAAAATCCCTAATTATGTTACGTTGTTCGTTGGGTGACAATAAGAAATTATGATTTCTACATTATGGGTTGGCTAAACTAAAAGGATCCAAACAAATTCTAGTGTAGTGTGCCTTGTACACGGGACGGTACACAAGAAATAATTTTTACATACTTTAGGAAATAGAACTATAGATAAAGATACATTCTCTTAAACTATCGAGAATAGAAGAGTAGAACCTACCACTGTGAAGACAACATGCTAGTAGAATCTAGGAATTTTTTTTATACACACTTGATTGGATACATTTATATGTGTTAAATGGCTATGTGATTTTATGTGTAGTAACTTGGGGATTGCGAGACAATTCTTGTGACGAGTATGAGTGGGTATAGAAGGTAGTAGAGGCCTATAGTACCAGAAGCACAAGACTCGCACTTGGATCAGGAAAAGTCAAAAGGTTACTAACACACTAGTAGTTGAATTTTTTGTTTGTTTCCGTCATTACCTTCGTTTCAGTGATGACTACGAAGATAAATGTTATTATGATCTTCTTGATTAGAACCGATGGATTCTGACTAAGATAAAAACTATGAAGTGAGTTACTCAGTTCAGAGAACCATATTCGATGTAGTATTCGAACTTGGTTAAAAGATTAAAGAAATGATAATCGAAGCAATTCACAGAGGTGTGGAAGCCGTCGATTATGTCACATTAGAAAGTGAAGGAATGTCTCTACCATGCCAGATTCTGACTCAACGATCTCTAAGTCTAGCAACTGCATCATGCGACGGAAGTTCATTAGGGTATGACCATTCGGTTTGTTACATTAAAAAAAGTAAAGATCTTATCATAGATTGTGTCTGTTTGAGAAGGAGCATGAGTCTCCGATGAATATTGAGTTTGTAACTCAAAATTTAGGACTAAAGGTCCAACAAGGAATGAAGAGCAAATGCATGGTTGAACACCGCCAGTAGTAAAGAAGACTAAGAGATTGATAATCGTTTGGAGGAACATAAGAGTACAGTTATTACCAAGGATGGAAAGATGACATAGGAAATCTTTATAGAAGACTTGTTTTACTAATTATTCCTGGACTCAAGCATCTTAAAGAGGAGATAACTATAATGCACACAAGATAGGGTTACATGATTAAAGAATAATAGGAAAGTTATTTGTCAAGGCGATAAAGATATGTTTTTATAGAAGATTATTTAGGACAATTAATCTAAACGAAAGTGGTAGTAATCGTAAAATAAAGAGCTTGCATATAGAGAAAGCCTAAATTTGACTTCATATGAGGAAATTATGATATTTCAAAATTTCAGTACAGTAGCATGCGACACAGAAACCAAATTTTAGATCAGTCGATTGTTAGGCAAAACAATCTAAACGAGAGTTGAAGATATCGTTAATACCTATATGTTGATATAAAGACAGGCAAAAACAGATATTGTGTGAGAGAGTAATGAGTTTTACACAGACATTAACAATAAGCCTGTTAAAAATACAACTTTCCAAATAAAGTAAGAATTAACCGACGGAGTCTAAATGAAAGTTGTAGATCTCGTCGATAGCTATGCGTGGACATGAAGAACGTTGAAAATAGAGTTCGTATGAAAAACATACGATTATTCAAAGTTTTTTAAAATACGAGTGCACCTGAGCACGCGCGGTGTACAACAGGCACTGATAAACGTGCATGGACCAACAAGATGACTTATGCCACCAGGCGAGAGAAACGACGTGGTTGGAGGACGCGACGTGGACCTATAAAAATGTGGCACGCAAACTCAATTTTTTCTCTATAAATAGAGTATCACCCCTCATTCATTCTTCACTCCACCATAGCTTCTCTATGCCTATATCTCTCTAATGTTTTAAAAATCTCTTTGGTTTTAGGGTATTTAGCTAGGCTCTGGAGGATCAGAGTGTCCGACAAATAGAAGCTATCGGGTCGGAGTTCCACTAACGTAATTTCCAAACTTTTTATCAAAAGTCTCTGTAAGTTAAGCTATACTTATATTGCTTTAGCTGTAACTTATATTTATACTCATAGTCGTTATTATGAATTTATAAATAAGATTTATGAGTGATTCCATGTCATATTACTTATTGATCTACTTGTGGGGGTGATGTCTAAGCTAGATTTAATGAGGTATTTAAAGTGAGATTTCCAAATACTATACTTCGTATATCAAATGGACCCTATCTCCGATATGATCTTACTTGGTTGCTCCTTACTTGATAGATCATGATGTAGACATTGGGATTGTTGAGGAATCTAGACATCCATTAGTCAAAAAGGAATATTAGACTAAGACATAGTAATAATCATAGTTAGGTCACATCAAAGGATAAGTCAATGTATTAGGCAAAGCGCATCCGAATTCACTAGTCATCCACTTTTAACAAGTGAGTACATAGTTACTTTCAGCTTACATATAGATATCAAGTATAGAGAGATATATAAGAAAATAGTGAGAGATCTTGTCCAACATAGTATTACTGTACTAATGAGACCGGAGAGAGAAATAAATGAGATAATGGTGAGAGACCATGTAAGAGATAAATTAGTCGAGAAAAACCATAACAGATATGATACAATTGTGAGAGACCCTGCCAGAGATGAAATAATAGTGAGAGACTATGCCCAACTGAGAACAGTCATCTAGCAGAGTATTGATTAAGACCATGAACTCTTCTAGACAATCCAATGGAACACTAGCAGACTCATAATCTGTAGTTGTTAATGAATCATACTATCCGAGAGTATGGATTGTGTGTTCATTCAAGTACTATATCTCCCTCATAGGACGTTAGTAAATGAGATATTCTAAGGCTTTTAATGACTATGTTTATGCTTATGTTTCTTATATTAGTTATGGCATCCCATGTTTTTAATAATCAATGAAAAATTTTCTTCGGATATACTTTTACGAGACAAATTCCACAGTTATAAATAAACTATGTTTTCAAGATGTATAATGAAATCCTAAAACTAACTCAAGTTAATAACACACATAATTAGATTTCGACACTTCTACATCTTGTGATATGATTTTGATACTTTGAAATCGAATGTTGGTAGTCAGATATTATGTTTTGGATTTAGAAGTTGAATGTTAAAATTTGAATTTCATTTGACAATTTTGGTAATACATTTGCTACACAAAAGAATCAGTGGCGAATTTATGGCTACTGTAACGCCAAATTAGCGACGGAATAGCGACATGTTTCCGACCATGGAAAAACCTATTTCTGAATAATTACCAACTTGAATTCCATCGCTAACGCATAATCAACGACGGATTTCCGACTGATGTCTGCACCTAGTAAAGGACGGAACAAACACAAAAATCATATCTTCCTTGAAATTTACCAAAAAATAATCCGTCGTTAAGGCGAAAAAAATCCCTCTGTAATTTTGTTGCTATTCAATAGCAACGAATGATTTATCAGCAACTTTATTTTGTTGCTGATATGTCGACGTTGCTTATTAGCAATGGATTTTTGATAGATTTATTTGTCACTAATACTATTATTTCAAGTAGTGTGTACTCGGGGCTTTTTTAATTTTTTTTTATTCCACACTATAGTATATTATTATATTCTTTTTTCGTCGACTAAGTTTAACCAATGCTAACATGCAGTAACATTTGCAAATCTACGTGACTTGTAACAAAGATTAATAGTTAAACCTGACACCTCTTTATTCAAAAAACCATATATATAAATGGTCTACTTAGAGGTTCAAATATGATGATTCATTTCACAAACTTAATATTGTTATTATTCGCTCTCTTGTTTCTGAATCGAATGATTTGCATGAAAAACGTTCAAATATTATGATTCATTTCACAAACTTAATACTGTTAGTTTTAGGCTCCGTTTCTGAATCAAATAATCTGCAAGAAAAACGTTAGTAATAAACGCAGTGGTTGAGGCTCGAGTTGGACGGTCAGATATTCGATGTTTGTTTTCAGGGTACAACAACCAAAATATTGTGTACTGTCAGATATGGCTACATGCTTGAAAGAGTCGCCGAAAATAGTTGCATAGAAAGTAAGGAAGAAGATGAGTATTTATCGTAGCTCGCGCCCACGCACAAGTTCAGAGAATTTGGCCTACGTAATCCAAGATTCGCACCCCCACCTTGCGCACGGGTCGGAATTGGAGTAAAATCATGTGTACAAGCTTGTAAGCCTATTATACGTTCAAGTTTATAAACTCACTAGAATATTGTCTTTCTATCAAATATGGGATTCATTCCCACACCCACTCCGTTGCTAACTTTTATTCTCAAATACCCAATTTTGAATATCGATATCTCATTCACATCTATTTTATTTTGCGTATACGATATATCGTTTTGAAGCTCTCACGAAATAGAATACAAACCAACATATGTATATATTTATATATGTCCATATTAGTAAAAAATATAAATATTTATATTAAAATTTCCAACAAATACTTTAATATTTTAATATTATAAAGTGAAAAGAATATATAAAAATGTGTGAAAAGATTAAAAAGAAAAATGGATTCTTGTAAAAAGAAAAGATTGGCAACTCGAAAGTAATCATTTTGTGCAACAAAGTATCATTTTCAGGAATGGACGTATACTTGTTCACACTTTGAAGAGAATTTGGTTTATAAAAAGGGACCAAAGGCGTGTGTTCTCCACAATCCTAATTATCCACACCGTCACCTTCCATTAGTTATCACCACTACCGTTTTAGCTGCCGGAACCCACCAATTTCTCCTCTTCCATGGCGACCACAACAACTGTTGATAACTTGGACCACCCAAGCATCAAACATACCAACTTAGATGTCGAAAGCCAGCAAACCCAAGAAACCACTGAAGTCATATTCGATTATGCCAAGCGAGCTCAATGGCTGAGAGCCGCTCTGTTAGGTGCTAACGACGGCCTGCTTTCCACTGCCTCCCTGATGATGGGTGTAGGTGCTGTTCGTCAAGATGTCAAGACCATGATCCTCTCTGGCATGGCTGGGCTGGTTGCAGGAGCATGTAGCATGGCCATCGGAGAATTTGTCTCAGTTTACTCCCAGTACGACATTGAAATGTCACAAATCAAAAGAGAGATCACGAATGGTTTGAGTACCTATGATCTGTTGGAAGACAAGAAAAACGAGTTGCCGAGCCCAACAAAAGCTGCGGTTGCTTCAGCCTCTGCATTCGCGGTTGGGGCAGCTGTGCCACTTTTGGCAGCTGCGTTTATAAATAGTTATCACGTGAGGTTGGTGGTAGTGGTGCTGGCCGTGAGCATGGCGCTAGTAGGGTTTGGTGGATTGAGTGCAGTGCTGGGAAGGGGTCCGATTGTGAAGTCGACACTTAGGGTATTGTTTGGAGGGTGGGTGGCGATGGGTGTCACCTTTGGGTTGACCAAAGCAGTAGGTTCTACTGGTTTGATTAATACTTAATTCGAGATATATATGGTACATGTTAGTATTTGGTTGATTAGTACTTCTCTTCTTAATTCGGAGTACTAAATTTGTAAACACATACAAAAACAGAATTTTGTTAACTATTTGATTATCCTTCATTTCTTTTAATAATTCATATTTTTATTTTATTAATTTTTTCTGAGGTTAATTAATCATAGAAAATTTTATCTGGGGTTAATCAATTATAAAATTACCAAAAATGAAAGGTACAATAATTAATATCATCATCAAATTTCTCAAAAAGTGACCGTCATATATAAAGATTAAAGTAATAGCGAAAAAATAATCCTTAGTCCGCACTTATATAATATAATTTTTGGGTGCATAACTTTTTGGCAAACGATTTGCATGAGGAAATGATATTAAAACTACCAAATATTTAACTCGAGGAAATGACATCAAGACAACTAAGTATTAAACTCGTGCTATACCTCGCTAAATGATCTTAGATTCTTCTTTTAGTTTAGATTTGATGAACTAGATAATATTTCGTGAACCGAAAGTCTAGTGACATACTGATGTGCACTACAAGAAAAGAAAAGAGATTTTTAAATGATAACTTTTTATAGAAAAAAAGATTAGTATATGTTTGGGATTTAACCTAAGACGTACTTGTTAAAATATCTTGTTACAAACTTTGTTACGTCAGCTAGACCAAATTATTTCTAAAATGATAACTTAATCAGTAAAAATTCTAAAAGATAATGTTACCAAGTATCAAAAAATTAAACTTGTTTACCATTTATATGTTATGTTGCATGTGACACTGAAACGAATATATATGTAGGTAAAATTACTGAGACATATTGGAGCTATGGTTTGGTCAGTTGTACATGGCATTTAATTTATATACTCGCTTCTTTTTTTGTGTATTCCATATTATTATGATTGTATTCGATTGTGGGTCAATTATATAATATTATAATATGTTATCTGTAATATATCACCTGAACAAGACTCTCTGTTGGAATATATATGTGACTTGTAACAAAGATCTATAGTTAGAACCATTCTATGCTCATAAGACGATAAACGACCAAGTGGTTCAATTGCGATGATCCAGAAAATTAATACTTAATTGTTTTTACAAGATAAAAGTAAAATATAATGTACCAATAGGTTAAAAGAGGATTCTCGATAAAGGAAAAGATAGACAACTGTTAAAAGTAGCCATTTATCTACGATAAGGTATAATTTTCGGAAATGGATCTAATGTTTGTTCACACTCTCAAGAGAATTTGGTGAATAATTAAAAGGTATAGAAGGCGTGTGCTCTCCACAATTCTAATTTTCCAACTCATCACATTCCCTTATGGTCTATATCTAAGACACAATTCAAAATAGAATAAATTACTCAAATCATCATTGGCTTGTTAAAATTATTCGTTTGGTCATTAACTTTTGTTTTGTATTCATACAGTCTTTAGCTTTTAATTTTGTTATTGTTAGGATCGAGACACTTAACACACGACTCTAAACACACACACAACTCACGAAAAACAAGAACACAAGGATGAACATGAGGGATTTAACGTGGTTCGGTCCTTCTGTGACCTACGTCCACCGGTAACTAGGAATTTACATTTCTTGGTGCTAATCTGCACTCTTTATGTGTTACACTAGATACAAGTTTTACAAATATAGATGAATCTCTTATATAGAGATGGAAATCAGAAGTAGTCAAAAAAACACAACCGGGTCTTCAGCCAACTTTTGAAAAAACTTCACATTCAACAATTGTGGCTTCACATTCAACAATTGTGGCTTCACAACTTCACATTGTTCCTGCCATTTTTGACCAGCTGTGGCTTCACATTCAACAATCTCCCACTTGAAGCCACGGAACAATCTTCACCTGTGCTTCAACTGTGCATCTGTATTTGATCTTAACTCCTTCCTAGTTACCCTGGCCTTCTCTTCAATTAACCTGAAGGCCAGTTGAAGCTTTCGTTAGCTCCAACGCATCAGTCATGGCTAAGTCTGCCACTGACCTGTTCTCTGTCTCCACCGGCTCCCACTGAAATGAACTGCCCGATCCTGGAACATCCTGAGAACAAATGACACTCTCCATGTGAAGCAGATAATCTGGAGAGACTTTTACAGATGGAATACTGGTTCTCTTAACCCACTGTGTTCTGGGTATTCTAGCTGAAACAAAGCCCATGCTCCCACTGCTATGAATGCCCTTGACTGGTTTTTCTGAACCGTTCCAAACACGTTCAACCTGAATCTGACCTGTGACTCTGGGTTTGCCATCTGCAAAGCAAACCTTCTTCTGTCCACGAGACTCTATGAACCAGATTTTGTTTTTCTTCTGAACTGGGACGGTTACTCCCTCAGACGGTAAACTAACCATATATAATGAACCCCTCTTATGTCCACGAGCGATCACAAGATTTCCTTTGACAACCTTCCACTGCCCATTCCTGAACTTAACCTCGTGTCCCTGTTCATCCAACTGCCCAACAGAAATCAACTGTTTCTTCAGACTTGGAATTACCCGGACATCCTTCAAAGTCCATGGACCGACTGGAGTCTTCAGATCTAAGTCACCTATGCCCGTCACATCAAGAACCTCATCGTTTGCCAGTCTTACCTTACCAAAATCCCCTTCTTTTAGATTCCGCAGTGCTTCACGGTTGTGGGTAGCGTGAAATGAAGCACCCGAATCCATAACCCAGGAATCCACATTGCTCTCCACACTACAGATCAAAACATCATCATCTGAATGGTCTACTGCAAAGTTAACTTCTTTCTTGTCTTTTGGACATTGATTCCTGAAATGTCCAACCTCTTTACAGTTCCAACAAGTCACATCATTTCGAGTCCTCGACTGACTCCTTCTCCTGTTCCCGCTCCCACTACCTCTGTTATTTCTTCTACCTCTGACCGTATTTAATTGTTCACTTGATGATTCCCCGGAATTTCTTCGTCTGACGTCTTCACCTAGAATTAAATCCTGAATTCCCTCAAAAGTGAGCTCTTTCGATCCTGCGGAACTAGTAACGGCTGTAACTGTTCCGGACCAACTGTCAGGTAATGATGATAACAGTAGTAAAGCTTGAACTTCGTCCTCAAATTTTATTCCTACTGACCCAAGTCTGGATAAAATCGAGTTCAAATTGTTGATGTGTACTGTAACTGAACTTCCTTCCCTCATCCTCGTGTTGACTAGTTCCCGAATCAGGAAGACTTTATTTGCTGACGACGGCTTCTCGTACATATTAGACAATGGCTCCATGATTCCCTTTGCCGAGGTCTCCTTCAAAATGTTGAAGGCAACATCCTTTGACAACGTCAGTCTAATAAATGCATTGGCCTTCTTATCCAAAGTCTTCCAGTCTGCCTGTGTCATCGCCTCCAGTTTTTCACCTAAAACTGCGTCCAAGTCTTTCTGCACGAGCAAATCTTCAATTTGCATCTTCCACCAACCAAAATCTTTCCCATCAAACTTCTCAATCTGAAGCTTACTGCTTTCTGCCATTTTCTGAAAGAACAATGACCTATTTTGCAATTTTCTGGAAATTCAGGGGCCAAATTGCAAATTTTCAAATCTGCTACAGTTTTGCTACAGTGTCGCTACAGTGCTGCTACATTGTCTGCTGACGTCACCGCTGACGGCGTCCTACAGTGTCTGATGACGTCACCGCTGACGTTGTGCTACAGTACATCTACAGTACCGCTACAGTGTCGTCTTCTCCGGCAGAACTTCGGTGCTACAGTGTCGTCTTCTCCGGCAAGTTCAGGCGCTACAGTGTCGTCTTCTCCGGCGGAACTGGTTTTTCCGGTCACTATTCCGGCAAACCTTTGACCGACGATTTGGACGTCTTCCGGTGGTCAAAAAATTCAGAAAAAAATATTTTCGGAATCTTCGGAACGAGACCTTTCCAACGGTATACACCAAAATCGTTTTTGACGAAAAAAAATTTCGACCAAAAAACAGAAAATCACCTTCTGGAGCTAAAACCTTGCTCTGATACCACTTGTTAGGATCGAGACACTTAACACACGACTCTAAACACACACAACTCACGAAAAACAAGAACACAAGGATGAACATGAGGGATTTAACGTGGTTCGGTCCTTCTCTGACCTACGTCCACCGGTAACTAGGAATTTACATTTCTTGGTGCTAATCTGCACTCTTTCTGTGTTACACTAGATACAAGTTTTACAAATACAGATGAATCTCTTATATAGAGATGGAAATCAGAAGTAGTCAAAAAACACAACCGGGTCTTCAGCCAACCTTTGAAAAACTTCACATTCAACAATTGTGGCTTCACATTCAACAATTGTGGCTTCACAACTTCACATTGTTCCTGCCATTTTTTACCAGCTGTGGCTTCACATTCAACAGTTATTTTGTTGTGTGCTTTATCCTTTGCAGACCTAAAAGGACTATATTGTCCTTTATATTATTTTTTTTTTAGTTTTTTCTTTTAATTATTTATAAAATGAATTAATTGTATAGAAAAGTGAGACCCACTCAATCTCACTCCCACAATCTCACTTTCACCACCGGTTACCTTCCTAATCCCATTCCCAACACCAGTTACCAAAATCCACCTGCCACCAGAAGCTATTAGTCACCTAGTCCCTTGAAACCACCAACCATCATAAAATAAATTTATATATGAAGAAAAACTGAAGAAAATCTAAACTATAAACCACAAATAGCAACACCTCCCTCAAAATCATGAAATCACTTTTAATAAAACACTTCATAACATTCACACATGCATACACATATATGTATCAATTACATGAAAAATCAAAAACAACCACCATGAATCTTGACCACCATCATCTCCTTTATCAACTCTGACAACCACAAAGCTCCGGTGAACATACTGGAAAATGAACTCGCCCTAACAAAAACCTATGATGAATTTTCCTATAAAAACCTAAATCCAGATATTAAAATTAAACCATTCAAAACCAAAATCACCTTAATCCATCTAGAACTCGAAACA